CACGTATATATGCACATCTCATATTAATGAGTGGCCAGTAGATAACAGCACCCAGGTATGAGATGGTTAAAGCATGGACATGAGAAATTAAATCATGTGCACAAGGTAGTTAATGCATGGCCATGAGATAATGACGCATGGGCATGAGATAGTTAATGTGTGGCCACGAGATAATAGCACCTGGGCATAGTTAATGCATGGACATGAGATATTAAAGCATGTGTAGATGATAGATAATCCATGGCCACAAGATAGTATTGTGTGGCCACTAGATAGTTAATGTGTGGCCATGAGATAATAGCACCAGGGCATAAGATTGGTATTTCATGGACACAAGACATTAATACATGTGTACAAAATAGTTAAAGTGTGGCCACAAGATAGTGATGCTTGGCCATGAGATAGTTATTGTGTGGCCTCGAGATAATAGCACCAGAGCGTGAGATTGAAAACGCATAGCCAGGAGACAATAACGCATGGGCATGAAATGTTTAATAGGTGACCATGAGATGGTTAATGTGTGGACACAAGATAATAGCACCAAAACATGAGATACTTAATGAGTGGCTACGAGTTAATAATTCGTGGGCATAAGTGGCCATGAGAGAGTCATTTTGTGGCCACACAATAATTTTACGCAGCCAAAATAAGTTTATTTTATTTTATTTTACCTCCAGGAGGGATAAAAGTAATTAATAACTTTCCCCACCAAAACATCACTTCAAAATGATCCAAATATTCCTTTCACATGTAAATATCTGCATTTTGGCAGTCACTTTGGGCTGGCTGGCTCGTGACGTCACCCGGAAAGGGTGGTGACACAAGCCGGAGAAAGTGCTCGTGGAGGGGGAGGGGTGTCCGGCGGTCGGCTCACACACAGACAGCAGGCAGCAGCTGCGGCGACAGCACCCGGTACCGCCATCTCTGCATTAAAAACATTCATAGCACCGACCTCCTCAGCCCCGAACACACAGCACACAGCGACACACACACATTCGGCCCAGAAAATGGTGGACCGCGAACAACTGGTGCAGAAAGCCCGGCTGGCCGAGCAGGCGGAGCGGTATGATGATATGGCCGCTGCCATGAAATCGGTAAGTAGCCCTCCGCTCTCTCTGAAATGACCTTTTTACTTCTTTTTTTTTTTCATCCATAAACATTGTCCTCCGGTGTTAAATAAATATATAAATTTAATAATTAACATGAAGCTAACCGGTTTAAATTAGAGCAGCAGACAGGCCACTGCTGCGTTTGGGTACATTTTGACTGAAGCGCATAAGTCACATAAAAGTGGTGTATGAAACTTATAGTTAATTTATGAAAAAGACACGAAGGAGAGGCTGGTGACGGTCTTAGTGGTAAAATGTGGTTACCTTCACTTGGACAGGTCTGACAGGCCTGCCACCTCCAGCCCTGTGTCTTTTATATGAGAGGATCAGGAATGAAAGCAGTTTGATACAAAGAGGGTCGGTTTAATGCACTAATTTACAGTAAAATTGTTATTTTTTTTATTGTCGGTGTGCTGCGGTGGATTGTGGCGGTCTGAATGCGCACTGTTTGATCTTGGGGCGGTGCCTTTCCAGGCTCCTTCACATGCGGCCAGGCTGCTGGGCTTTAACCCAGCCAAGAGGAAGGAAGGGAGTAAAATCACCTTATATAGGCTTGGTATCTGTTTGGATGTTTTATTTTTCACATCAGGTTAGGAGAATCTTTAATAAGATATTTTTTAAAAAATCGCGTCGAAAGATGCGCAAAGTGCCGGACCGTTTTCCCGGATGATGCGCCGATGCTCTTTTTACGCTTTTATGCAACATAATGAGCTTCCACTAAGCGAGAAATGCCTTTTTCTCTGTTTGCTGGGATGTTGCGGGAGGAGGGGTGCTGCTGATGCTGCTGCTGCACATTTGGCGCATAGAGAGGCAGGCCAATGTTGGCTGAAGGTTGATCGCCATCGATTTTTGCGCAGCAGAAGGAAGCGCACAAAAAAAGGTGCAAAACCCACAGACGTGGGTGTCGTTTTTTTTCTTTTCTAAATCTATATAGTTATATTTTAAGGGTTATCTCAGTAAAAAAAAAAATCCTAACTCAGCAGTTCTTTCTTCCACTCAGAACATGAGTAGGTRCTGTGCGCCAGCCGCATCTCGGCGTCCTCCACCTCTTCCTCCAGCAGGTTCCCACACACAGAGAGAGGCGTGCCGCAGCAGCTGCCAGGATGCAGCACAGGCCCGCCCGTAGTGCACCATTTCACATGCAGCGTTTCCTCACAGAGTCTGCATCTCACCCTCTGCTGACTGTGGACAGTTAAATAAAATACAGTAAGGGCAGAGCAAAAAAAAAAAAAAAAAAGGTTCACATGAACACTCGCACACTCTTCTCTCTTATAAACTCTTTTATCAGATGACTACCTCTTCTTTTATGTAAGCATTCAAGCAGCGTTAGTGTTATGGTTCCTCTGTGTTCACATCGATTCCCCTCATTATAGACATTTTAGACGTACATCAGCTTCGGCTCCCAGGAGTCCACAGAAAGCTGTCGGTGGGTTTTCAGCCCACGCTGCTCTCCAGGACGAGGCCCTGCTCCACCCCTCCCCGTTTGTGCCGAGTCAGAGAGGCGGCGCTGCCCCTCGACCAGCCGGCGTCTCTGCAGCGCAGGGCCAGCAGGGGTGTGTCCGCCGCCTCGCCCATCCTTCCAGGGGAATCCCTCGCCACTGCAGGCATGGCAATGGCCTCCGCAGCAGGCGACGCTGCACCCATCCTCAGGAGAACGCTGCAAGAATCAGATTTAAGCACAGTCGCCTTTGCAGCATCGAGGATTTAATATTTCAGAAAGAAAAGACCAAATGGAGGTTATTCAGTCTACTGGAAGTGACACGATTTTCWTGAACTGGGAGGAAGAGTTCGGCTACAGATCAAAAAGTAGGTCCATCAATACAAGCGTGAAGTCCATACAGGCCGAGTCATCAGGTCTGTTCTGCAAACCACTTGTAAAGATGGTTCAAACGGTTTGCAGTGATATMATGTGAAAATGTAAACCAATAATATCCTAATTGTTGAAGGCAATGAATACAATGAAATTCAAAATCTAAAGTTTTATAGTGGTACAAATCCCAGTGGGCCAAGTGTTAGACCGGTCCTTTCAGAATAAACTATGGCTACATTTAAACTGCAGGCAAATGCCACCCATATCTGATTATCTTTTTATGACAGTCTGAACGCGACAAATACTTTTTTTTTTCTAGTCTGACCCAGGCCTTTCCAGCATGTGGTACTGAATCGGATACATACCTGATGTTTTTCAAAGCGACTGCAGTGTGAACGCACATGTCACATTCCATCCGACTTTTTCCTTTTTCATCAGAGGTTAGTCACGATGTTCTAATCTGTAGCTCCACGCGATTACAGCTACAAAATAGAAGTCAGTTTGCTTCGTCTCTTTTCTTTTCGTTTTCCATGTCGTGGTTGACCGGGAATCCGTAGGAACATATGATGGTAACGTCCATCTTTGACTGCAAACCATATCAGTCTTAAAGTTCGATATGTTCAGCACTTCATCCCAAGAATGAAATGCTTCACCACAGTATATGGTCAGAAGCAGGTTAGATATAAACACTGAACTAAACGAGCATGTCAGATAATTATTTAATCAGCTCTGACTGAACAGCAGGTTTAGCTAAGTGTAACCAAACAGTGAGCTGAATGTGACGTCATGTCTTTTCTGCACATGTGGGTCACATCAGTGCCATGGAGCGTTCACAATGGAGTCAGATGGAGGTTGCATTTAAAATGTAATGTGAACGTTCACGCCAAAAAAATCAGATTTTTAAAAAAATCAGAATTAAGCATTAAGACCTGCAGTGTGAACGTAGCATATTTCTCCAAACAGCTGTCATTTAAAGAGCTATCAACAACAGAACACAGATTCACAGTCCAAAATATCCCTTTAAGTACTATTTGTCCAAAAAAAAGGAACATTTACAGATGATGTTTCTGAAATCAAGTTGCAGCACTTCACAATCTGAACACATCAATCCCAGGTTATCAGAATGATGCCATGGCATCTGTCCAGTTCAAGCAGCCTAATTAACTCCTGTCAAATCATGAAGGAGGTTTTGTACAGTCGGTGCTGACAGTCAAACATCTCAAATCAAAGTTCATGATGTGGTGTGTTTCATGTGAGAGGACTAACTGATAACCCTGGTTCTACTCGTTCTTCTGTTAATGTTACAAAAATGATAATAACCTCTGCTCTGACTCAGTTTATGCACTGACTCTTTTCATTACTGCTTACAGTTTGACAGTAAATGTTGTATATTTGGACAGAAAGCTCGYAGTACTACTCTGGGTACATCTAATGAAGGTGTTACAATATCACRTTTACACAGGCAGCACTTTCATGTAGCAGTGACTCTTTTTAAGACTTGTCAGAACAGTGAATGTCACATTTTTATTATTAGTTACAGGGGATTGTTTTCAACAAAAACATGTCAGCTGATTCTTTTATAACACATTATTACATCAACCCTTATACCTCCTTCTTTCTTTCAGTTATTAAAGCATGGCTGCATGGTGCCTTCAATGTGAAGCTGATGATGATGCTACAGTCTTTGTACTTGTCCTGGTTTGACTCTGTTGGACTGCAGGATGCAGCTGTATGCTGGATGTTTATGCTTCGTTTTCACAGAGTTGATGATGTAATAAGGTTGTTAACTAGTTGTATTGACCTTTTCATAGTTACTAGTTAAGGTGCAATGAGAGTTCTGTTTCAAATTCTCTACCACTGAGCGGCGTCAGTGTGAGCGGGCTCCATGGATACTAGGGGTGGGTATCTTTAGGGTTAAAAAAATCAATTAAATCAATCTTGGATCRATTTCACTTAAATTTTATGATATCAGTTCATGGGCATGAGATGGATTTTTATCCCCATGACGTTAACCTCGGTAGGCTCGAGCGTGATGAAGCTGACGTTTATTTGTGTCACTCCTGGCWTGTCGTACGTTTACGTCCGGTTGACGTTTAGCACGAACTTTTCAATGGAAAACAATGATGCTGAAACTGCATCTTGCAAAATCTTCAAACTGGATGTTTCTCGTGGTGGGAACAGCAGGGCTCGCTTTAAAACCTTGTCACTTGGAAAGAAATAAAGTTRTCGGATTGTATCGGAAAGATTAATCATTAAAAWAATTGGATTTTATCGGGAGCCAAACAATCTGGATYGGTACGTCCCTAATTATTACACTGTACATTGTTTCAAATTRCATTTAGGTTTTTGTCTTTCCGTTTTAGCTTATTTAATTRTTTTAGCCCTCTTTCAGTAATTTATTCTTTTAGATTTTTTAAGCAGCAAGGTTTAGTGCAGACCTGCTTACAGTATGGTGTGTAACTGTATATGGGCTTTCACATGAAGACATGTTAACAGTTGTACAGATTGCAGACTGCAGATATGACTGTATAAAGGACTGTTGAACCACAGAGATGATGTGCAGGAACAACATAAAGCTGTAGAGTTGGTTTCTTTTGTCTTCGTTTTTCTGTTTCAGCCTTTTTTTCTCATTCATCTTCGATTAGTTTCATCTGAAATCAGACTKATCTCAAAACCTAACCAGCAGTGTTAAAAAGCAGAATGTGCTGACTCCATTAGTTTGAATTATCATTTACACACCCACGTGTTCACACACACACACACCCTGTTTAAGAGCTGTAAGGAGGTACAGTATATGACCTAGATAGCTAATTCTTCCATCATATTTAATGATCTGCACACATCATCATGTGTCCATGGACGTTTCTCATATAAACAATATGTATTCACTTTGTTGAATGATGGAGGCAATGCTTCCCCTGTTAATATTTTGGATTTGATGKTTCTCCTTCAGATTGATTGCTTTCATTACCCCCAGCACATCCACCTGTTCAGCCTCTGCAAGATGAAACAGATACTATTGTAATTTCCTTCCACTGGGGCTCTGTTGCACAGAGCCCCAATGCAAAATGATAAATTTAAAGAGACARTTAAGGTTCCCATTTTACTGCACACTTCTCTTTGAGATGCTGCAAGATTAGTCATTTTATTGTGAATATTGTACACAGGAAGGCAG